GTGTGTGTGTGTGTATATGCATATATGTATATATGTTTATATATAAAAATGAAATACACATACTTATCACAGACAGGGTTTTGGTGTTCTCTAGATAGTCGAAAAGGCTAGCAAAAATTGAGCCTAAATGTTGCTATTAAGGTACAAATCATAGTTGAACTAATGTGATCATCTTTCAAGTTCCGTCGAAAGAAGTCATTTATCAACTGGTTCCTATAAAAGGTGAGCACTAGAGAATAATAGGGGCGTACGTTTATTATAATTTCTATTCGCGAATATTCCTCTGCATCAATTCTCAACAAAAGATGCACTCGATGGTATTGTGTCAAGTCGGTACCGTGTGACGGCGCTTGTTTTCTGTGGATTAGCTCAATTTTCAAACCTCGCGCACATAGCCATCAAGAGATAATTTGATTTAATGTAACCATCTATAAACTAAATCGGGTACGACGTCCTACTCGCAGCACTAGTGTACTCAGCGTCCGACACGTGACACGTGACACGTGACACCTGGTACCTGACATGTGATACCGGCCGGTTAGTGTTGGATGTATTGATATGCTACGTACCCATCCGTTTGGTATCTGATCCAAAAGATCATATTTTCAATCTGTGGACAGTAGCGCCAAAGTAACTTCATACATGTGCATGCGTTGCCTAAACCCCCCACAGGCAAGGCAACGGCGGCTGAACTAAGGATATGAGGAGGCGCTGGCATATGTCCTGGGTCATATTGTACGCTGAACGCCCTGGGGTACATCTCGTACCACATGCATCCAAGGATAAAAGCTAATGTTGTATGGTACATTCACAGCTGATATCCAATCTTCCTCGCAACAATCCAGCCCCCATTCGCAGTTGCACATGAACTCAATACGCTGATTCTGTGCCCTTGGCATGAGCTGTATCGTGCATAGCAGTCTCCTGCGCGCAGCGGTGGTGTATTCTGTCAAATGTGCATCCACGCACTCAACCACACGCAAATCTCGCTCGCAGTATTCAAGCCTATATATCCAACCTCCACCAATTTATGGCGTCCGGTAGGCTGCCTCAAGAGTACCTCATATATCGAGATGCAAAATATACGAAGACGTAAAATATACGACCGAGTTGAGCTGGGTTAGGAGCGGAACCTGAACACGCACGTAGATTAGCGCTCGCATACGCCAGATCAATATACAGCTAGCTAAAGCTAAACTGTAGAGTGCACAATAGCTCAAGAGAGCACGGGGCCACACCGAGATTACATCGGAACGATATCCCGCATTGTATATACCCAGCCCACCCCGCCTCGGGGAAATACCAGAATGTCAGTCAGCGGTTGCCGAGACCGGGCGCACTCATATGATGCGGAAGTGCCGAGAGAAGTTCGGTCTCTTAATTTACCGTACACCTCAAGTCCTGTCCTGCCACAGGTAGCCTTAATTGGATGAGTGAACGCGGGGCCATCTCTTTTCTGCTAGAATAAAAGGGGTACTGTAGGCATTGCAGTTGATGACACCACATGACACGCCCAAGTCACAGGCGGTGACAGGTGGCACGTGTAGACTAGTGTGACCATTTTCAGGGTGTGAGAGGTGTATCTCACTTTGTCGTACAGTACCAACATACCCATCGACCAGAGAACAAGCGCTGGGATCAAGCACTTGGCTTCAGAAGCGTGGAGCGGTGAATAGCTCTAGACTCGCACCATACAAACACGTCCGCTTTGAGCAAACCCGGGCATACAAAGTGTCCACGTATCTGTGCTTTTCTATGTCGCCCTGCCAATTCTGGGGCGTGCGATACGCCAAAAATCCAAATAATTCTGAAACAATGGAGTTGTAGCAAGTTGTAACTGCGGTACCTCGCTGATGTCATTCGTTGGGGACCCTGTCACACTTTCTTCTCCACTATGTTTGGTGGGCTACTAAACACACCCAAAGTGTCTGTGAACGGCAGCTAAATCGTTTTCTATTCGGAGGCTCCGGTGAGGATCTGTCGGGCGAGCTCCCCAGCAGAGTCTGTATCTTTTTTTTTAAACTAACTAAGCTGTGCTTGGCCTACAGGCGTTGAGCACACATGCACTTGCTACCCACGCGCTAAGGTCTCCATCTACCTGTGCGTATGTGTGCGTCTCTATTCTGCGCCTACGCTAACAAGTGCAGCCGAATTTGACACATATCGAATCTACCCCGTACTGGCCAGGCAGGTAAGCCAGAGTCTATACCTTTTTTTAAAGCTACGAAGCTATAAATAGATCTCGCTCTGCGCTCAGCAATGTGGAAAGCTCGGTTGCGTGGATGTGCCACCCGTTCCTTCTGAATTAGGAGTCTCTGAGCTGATTTCCATTCAGTGGTCTAATTTTAGCTAGAGTCCTAATTTGGCCACTTTGACGGGCAGAGCTGAGCAATCGCTTGTAGCGGTCTCCAAAGGGCGTTTGGCTGGGATTGGTCGTTTCCTGCTACGGCTGTGAAAGAATGTATGATGTAGAGAGGTATAAATAACACATACGGACTTATGTATATATATATCAATATAGACCACTGGTTAAAGGATGAAAAATTTACTAGCTTCTTCGTGTACGTACTTTGGGCGAGCTGCAATGCAACAGAGTGCCAGTTTTCTTGTGCAGCTGGCTGGATACGCCAACTGTTCAAGAATACACAAACAATCTACAATCAACTTCCGGTAACCAAAGTACGAATACAGATACAAGTGCATGTGGGACCGAGTTAATCAGAGTACGACTAATAGAAATAAACTGACCTCTCAGTATGCACAGGTGTGTCTTTGAGTTCACCATTCTCGGCATTACTTAGATCACTGGTATCCATAGGCCCATCGTCTGCTTCTGTTATTCTATCAGAGTCTGCCACAGAGCGTCTCTTGGGCGGGTTTGCCTTCTGCCAGAGCGTCAGCAGTTCGTCTACTTTCGCGATGACGTCACTCTATCCGTGGAGATTTATAGTGAATAGTCTCATTAGGAAAGGTAGTAAAACACCGCTCTTGTGGATATGAATGATCATTGTTGTTGCTATGTGAAGTGCAACCCACGCCTGCTGCATAGAGCACTTTACAAATGGCTTTCGGTGAACTCGAAGCTTCATGTAAAAACAAAAAAAACAAAACAATACAAAACACCAGCTGGCATCGGAATTTTCCTGATTCTTGATGTCTCTTAGAAAACATGTCAGATGTGCTTGGCAAACGGACACCGCGACACTATAGGTGTGCTTAAAACACTTTCATATTGATCTCAGTATTCGGTAAGGGGTGATTCTGAAACTACCTGCGAATTTGGCCACTGATGCCATGCATGCATTCATACCTTGAACCATGGCGAGTTGAGTGCCATCTCAACAGAATACCTCTCCGAAGGCATAACACATAGCAGATTGGTGATTAAGGTGATAGCTGCCGACGGAGGAGAGACAGGAAGGAAAAGAAAGTTGTTTAAGAATGTGTGCTCTAAGTAGTATAGACACGCCTTGGCGAATAGGCACTACAACTAACTCTTCCGAGCGAGGCTAGAGTTCACACACAGCTCTGGGAATGAGAACAATACTGCGCCAATATTCTTAAATAGAGAGTGCAGTGTTGAAAATCCAGCGTTTCACAGAGGAAAATCGCTGATACGCCTAGACAGAATACATATGATCATCGGCAAGTGAAAACACCGCCCCTAAGTTTCCATGCATCAGAAGAATCTAGGTGCGATTTAACTAGCTACATATATACATATATACATACATACATACATACATACATACACACATACATACATATATATATATATATATATATATATATATATATATATATATATATATATATATATATATATATATATATATATATATATATATATAGTATATATATATATATAT